AAGTTACTTATTTGATGTGAAATATGAGAATTACTGTTTGGTAAAGTAATATTTTACTTAAAAGTAATTTTTCTTATGTGTAAGTAAATAATTTATTTATTAATAAAAGTGTAAAATGCAAGTTATGTATTTTAATGGTAGCCTAAGTGAGTTATCTAAATATGTTTGTATACAAAAAGTAATTTATTAATAAGTAATATATAAATAAGTTTAAATAAATACATGATCTATTATTATATTTTTTTTATTGAAGTAAAAGTAAGTTGCTTATTTTGATAGAAATATAAAAGTTAATTTTTAAAAATAAATTTTCACTTGTACTAGAACAAAAATAATTGTCTAAACTAATTATACTTCGGATTAGAACCAAATTAGGTTGGTGATTAGAACTAAATAAGCGATAGCGTTATCGTTATCGTTGGTAATGATCGATACAATTCCGTTAGCGATTATTGATAAAAATACATCAAGATAGTGTCGAGAATCATTTAGAATGCTTCAACATTGATAGAAGCTGTCGGTGTAACTCATAAGATTTTACTCGTATTTTTATAAAATATTGTCAAATAAAAAATATTTTTTTTCGTTATAATACTACATATTTATAAGCTATTTTTTTGAACTTTTTTTATTTGTGAAAGAAATTTTTCGTAAGTATTTAATTTTATAATTTCAAAAATATATTTATTGAAATTTTTTTGTTAAATTATTTAAGTTTTTATTGTCTAAAAAACCGTTACATTTGAATGAACATTTGTAAAATTTAGTATGTAGTAATCAGAAATGATCTAATGAGCACCGGTGCTCATTAGATCATTTCTGATGTAGTAATATGGAAAGTTGTTAAAGGACACATAGAAGTTGATCAAACCAAAATTACTAATGGTCTCGTTCCTCAAAAGGAAGAAACATAAATAGTATGATGTTCGTTAGAAAGAGCTAGACACACTGTTCTTGAAATGAAACTTATATGACTTAAATTTAAGCTGAAGATGTTCTTCATGTGATGGAAATTGAGGACCGCAATGAATACACGGATTGCCCCTTAATAAACCCTCGAAAAGGTTAGTGAACTAATGAAATATCTCGTAGTGCAAATATGAAATAGTCAAACTTTTCTTTCAATAATTTGTTAGTTGTTATATATTGATATACAATTTAAACTTGTAAATGAAATGATTCAATATTTATGTACGTGTATTGATATTTAGAGGTCTACATCAAGGTATTCATTGTGGTTGAAGATATAGAATATCAATGCTATTATCCATGACGACGGCAATAGAGGTACCAATTATAGGTGAACGTGGGTGTCATTGGGTCGAGATTCAACGTCAAGACTATTTCAAATTAGGGTACCATACAACTATTGATAAAGGAAGAAATTGGAAAAAAATATATATGAATTTTCAGTGAAAATCACAAATATTGAATTAGGGTTTGGGCCGTCACTCATCATAGAGCGGGGATCAACTTCTTTCTCCTTCTCTCTAGAAATATGATGTTTAAAATAAATAAAAATGTCAAACGTCTCTTCCAATATTTTGATTTTAATTGTTACCTAAATATATCGATATATGGTTTAAACTTTTAGATGAGGTGATTAAATACCTAAAGTTTTTAAAATCGAACATTTGTAAAAAAAAAAAAAAAACTAAAAAATCGTTCTTAATCTTTAATTATCTTTTTAATATTATTAATTATCGAAAAAAATTCATAAAAAAATATAAAATATAAAAAATATTAAGATGGGGACTATCGATGAATTGAAGACTTGGATGATGATCTAACTTGTCTAATGTTTCAGTTGACCGTTTCGTTTTTTCCGCGAGGGAGGTAACTTGATGGGTGTGGTAATTTTGGAAAGTATATGTGCACAAAAGTTCGGGAGAATGCTTATTGTATTATATACAGAGCTTTTTACAACTTGAAACTTGACCAATACAAATGAATTCAGTACCTATTTTTATAGTGGTTGCCTCCCCAAATCATTTTGATCCAATGGCCAATATTTGCTTCTAGACATCTCTATATAAAACATCTCCTAATTATCTATACAAAAATCAATCTTAGCATTCTCTAGAGAATTCCTAAAAGGACTAGTGCTATCTGCCGTCTAGCTTGAAGTGTTACCTAATGCTGTTTTATGATCGTTGTCTAGAACCTTCCGTCATGTATAAAGTGCTAGTACATCTAGAACATTTTAACTAGCTGAATACACATTCGTTTCAAGAAATTTCCGTACTTAGACAATATTTGGCAGCAATAATTTCGTCCCTTACATTTCATGAAACCTTATGTGTGCATTGGGTATTCCATCCTTTGCGTAGCGCACCTTTTCTTGCAGAATTTCAGCCATAGCATAGACGGAAAACGTTAATGGCTTGTGCGGCATAATAGCTCACTCCTCATTAATGACAAACTAGATAGTGGCTAAGGGACAATAGGCCTCCTCTAAGTGACCTCAATATCATTCTTATTCCTAATATGATTAAATGGATATTCTATGTACTTAATCTATAATCAACTTAATTAGGGTTGTGCATGGTCCGATTCAGTTCGACTCTAAAAAGAACCGAACCAAACCCAAAATTTTCGGGTATTTAGTAAATGGAACCGTTTGGTCTAAATTTAATTATGGAATCGTTCATGTTCGATTCCATTCGATTCGGTTCTATTCGATTATGGGGTTCCGTATAATAATTAATTTTTTCTATATATTACAACGCTACATTAATTCGACTATGACATATTCAATCTTAATTTTTTTACATAATAAAGTAGTTCAATCTCGTGATATCTTTTGCACCTCTATTTATTAAATTTTTCATAGATTTGACTGTTAAAATCACACGAAGAGGAAGATGGCTAGTTCACAATAATAGAACGGTAGAAACGACACTACAGTAGAATAAGAGATTTGAGTAAAACTTAGGTCAATTTGATTAAGTTGGGCTTGATTGGAAATTAGAAATAGTAAAATTATATTTTGGGTTTGGATAAAATTAAATAATTAGCAAGTTATTATAAAAATAAAATAATTTGACCTATTTAAGATAAAAAAAAAAATAAAAAAATTAGGGAGATTCGATTTTTATTCCGTTCTTGTTTTAGAACCGAGAACCGAACCCGTCGGTTCTCGATTCAGATACCCTTTCGGGTATTTAATTTAAGAAGAACCGCTTGGTTCGGTTCGGGTTCTTGTCCGATTCGATTCTGTTTGAGAGTTATGTCCAGCCATAAGCTTAATATTCTATGTTGATTCCAAAAGTCTTGAGTTCTTATTTACTATTTATCCACTCACCAATTAAATCTTGGCATTAGCACCAAGGGACCTCTCAACGGGTGTGTTTTTTAATTCATTCTTGACTAAATCTAGAAGGCGAAGGATTAAGAAAGAATATCAACACAAATATGTTAGACGCGTGTTCTTTTATAAGTTAAGACTTTTTTAACACAACATTTAGAAATTCTCGCATCTATGCGCTTTGAACAAATTTTTGATGACAATGGGGTGAGAAGTAAATTGTCTAAAAGTCGTAATTGGAAAAGTCGTCTTTCTTATATATATATATTTTAAAATAATGAGCGCGATTGTCATAATCATTTCTTTTAGTATAGTTCACAATTTTATTAATTTTACATAATGGAGAGTCTAGACTAAAATAAAAATGAAATTTCAGGGACTAAATTGGAAAAATCTTTATTATGTCCAATCCTCCTCAAGGAGAATTGGTACAGATCCACTGACGGTGTAGCCTATGCATTCAAGACCCCAGAAGTCAAAGTAGACGTTCGAAAGAATGGTGGGTTGGTAGCTTCAGAATTTAATGACCATTTTCAATGCCTGAAACTCGCAATTCCCTCCTGTGATGATGAAAGTGCATAAGCCATTACTACTTCCACTTTTTATTTATTATTTTACAATGAATAGATCCAATACCGTTTGACCGAACTTTTTAGGAGGAATAACGTTAGATCTTTGTCGTTGAAACTAATATTTGATTTTATCTGAATAGAATTTTTTCTATTATCTTTTAAGGTTTGACGAACATAGAATAAAAAAACGACCCTTTTTTCATATTTTCACACGGTACATCTTCCAAGCGAGTGGCTATAGCTCATTTTTGTGAGTCTTTACCTCGCCTTCCACCTTCGCTTTGTGTCATAAATGTCAATAAAAGTTTCATGTCGACTAGCTATTGAGATGATCATGAATTTTATAATTGAATTGAATTACTATCAAGTGTTTGTCTAAGAGTGAAGTGAAAAATGATCTTCTTTTTTCCCAGAAAGCGTGGTTAAAAAATAAGAAAAATACGTGTCAACATGCAAAATTATTTAATTGGAAAAATGTATAGTAAAAAATGAGATTGAAAAAAATAATTTTCAAATAAACTGTGCCAAACCAACCTAAAAATCGTGCCCAAACTTAGTTATGTGGATTCAAAATGATGGAACAAATAGAATTGAACTAGCTCGTCTAATAAACTTACGATGGAATTGAATTTCCAATGCCTAAAACCCCCCTCCCCTCACTCCCACTTTTGTCTCAATTCCCATTTATCACACCTTCCAAGCAGTTAGGTCCTGAACCAATTTTGTGAATCCTTACTCCTTACTCCTTACTCCTGACCCCCACCCCCACCCCCACCCCCACCCCCACCCACTCCCACTACTTCATCTATAAATTGTTCAATTTTAGAACTTTAAGATGCATCTCACCCCACACAAAAATACATAAAATTCTCTCTTGAAATTATACAAAATGTCTCAGGGAAGAGTCTCCCACTTTTGTCTCAATTCCCATTTATCACACCTTCCAAGCAGTTAGGTCCTGAACCAATTTTGTGAATCCTTACTCCTTACTCCTTACCCCCACCCACTCCCACCCCCACCCCCACCCACTACTTCATCTATAAATTGTTCAATTTTAGAACTTTAAGATGCATCTCACCCCACACAAAAATACATAAAATTCTCTCTTGAAATTATACAAAATGTCTCAGGGAAGAGGCAGTGCAGTTTTTGCCACAACAATAATGTTGAGTTTGGTGGTGCTTTTCCATTTTGAGGTGGCTGAATCTGCCAGCTACGTCGTTGGAGGTAGCGGTGGTTGGACCTTTAACGTATCTGGTTGGCCCAATGGCAAGAAGTTTAAAGCTGGCGACACACTCGGTAAGCACAATATTCTTCAACCAACACATCGACCATTCTGTTATCGTCACATGTTTGGTATGCAGTATTAAATTTAATCTGCTCAGTTTTCACTATGCTCCACCAATATAAAAGAAAGAAAGTATGAGCAAACCCCACAAAATGTCCATTTCTAGAAATCATAATTTACTTCTTTTTTTTTTTAAATTTCTGATCTATATTTCCTGCAGACGGTACTAGTCAATACAATATGCAAACAAAATTTAAGTATTTCGTAATCTCGTGCACTCCAATCTAACATTACAAGATATGCAATTAGTGCGTCGAATTGGACAAGACATTATATCGACTTGACTTTTGAGTGCAGTGTTCAACTATAAATCGGGGATCCACAATGTCGTGGCGGTGAACAAAGGTGGCTATCAAGGTTGTACCACCCCTCGCGGCGCCAAGGTGTACAAGACCGGAAAAGATCAGATAAAACTTGTTAAGGGACAGAATTTCTTCATTTGTAATCTTCCAGGGCACTGTCAATCTGGAATGAAGATAGCCATCACTGCAATGTGATATATACATTTATACATCCATATCCCTTGCGATAGTACTGCTTATTGAGCCATGTAATAATACAAATATTTAAAGAAATAAAATGTTGACGAGATATCTATGCCTATTTCATGATCCAATAAAGTATTTGAGCTTGTGTCTGCTCTAGTTTATCATGTTGAACGACTACGATAACTATTTTAAGGCTCTCGACTAGTTCTTGGGCAAATTAATGATACTCTTTAACTTCTTTCTTTGAACTCTATTCTTTAAAATTCATTTTTTTGAAACCCATTTTCAATCGTACATTTTTCCAATAAAATAAATTTGTATATAAATCCATTTTTTTTATTTTTATTTTTTAACAACATAATCTTTAAAAAATTACAGTTTTAAAAAAATCTATTCTTAATATATGTGACTCAAACGGAGGCTAAATAAATATCATAGCCCATCTCAGTCTTGATTTAAGCTTTTGCATGAAGGTTCACAATGTTAAAAGATTTGGATAATTTCCTTGTAATCATTAATGCTAGTAAAAATAAATAAATTACAAGAAAAATACTTTCTAGATTAGTACAATAAGTTGGGAAATCTGTCCAAATCTAATCTATGTGCCAATAAATGAATATTTTTCTTCTTTCATTTTAAATCTTAGTGTGTGTTTGATTGACATGGAAAATACATTCTAGAAAAAAAATGTTTTTCTTGTTTTGAGGAAAAAACAAAAACCTACTTCTCACAAAGAAAACGTTTTCCATATTTCAAAACTTGGAAAATATTTTCAATGGAAAAAATAGTAATCAAACACTCTAAAATAGGAATTTGGGTGAAAAATAAATGCAATTAAACACACCCTTAATGAAAAATAAATGAAATAAAGAAGTATTAAATTGAAGCTAGTCGAGAAAAGATTGATACCTAGGTCAAGAAATTAGTCCAACTTCAAACTTGTCATGAGATATGAGGGATTGTGTTTAATAATATGCCTAAGCACGAAATTTGGCCTTGTCGTTTAGTCACATTTTATGTTTTTTATACGTATGTTTGTCTAGACTCGTAAAAGTTTGAAACTTATTTTGTTGCCTAATCACTCTTTATGCTTTTTACAACATTGTATAAATTATGATTGCGAGTGTGTTAATAATTTCTAAATGTATTCTCTTAATCTATGTTCCTTTATGTTGGAAAAATTGATTTTTATTAGTTGGTTTGACCAACTTTTGACCAATTATTTTAGTGGGTCCCGTTAGTTTGACAAAAGATTTCTTTGGGCGAGTGTGTTCTACTCCATGAGTAAATTAATATAATGTATTTTTTTTTCTCAAAATCAATTTAGGATGAATGAGAAATTAAGGCCTAGAGATAACCACTTGAAATTGGAATAAATTAGAATAAAAATTGGTGAGAAACTGAAAAAATGTCAATCACACATGGAAAGCTAGAAGAGTATAAACTACTTTATATTGCTCAAGTTTGAGACTTAGGTTTGGGTCCCGGGGTACCAATAGCCTTTGAAGAGGAAAAAACCTACATACTAGTAGGTTGAGCCAAACATTCCCGGCACGAGCACGGGTCGTGGGTTTGGGTTTGGGCCAAGTTGATATATATTTTTTGGTAAAATAATATTTGAATTATATTATTTTATTATTATTTAAAATAATAATATATTTATTTATATTATTTTCCCCCCATACCCCGATTTTCATTCATTCCAAAATCAGAGTTGATTTTATTCTTCTTCCAAAATTATTCATTCGTCCCTCATTTATTCATATTTTGCAATTCAGCTTCGAAATTTATTTTCGTACATTTTAGTCCTAAATTTTTTTTAGACAGATCAAAACGTGAGTAAGTTCCCTGGTCTTGTAATTTGGAGTGCTACTATTACAAGTCGAGATCGTTGTATCTTGGGAGATGAGGGCTAGAATACCGTTAGCACCAGTGCGAGACATTATCTTCTTAAGGAGAAAGATTCGAACCCTTGCCTCGACCATTAGTACCCTTGCCTCGACCATTAGTATTTTATATCATTCATTTTTGCATGACATTATTCAGCCCAAATCAATTCACGGTGATATCATTATTTGCCAACAATCTTAAGACGATAATGATAAATAATACTATATTTGTCGTACCCCTTAACAATACTCACAGGGAGAAATCGAAAAAATTCACAGGAGTGGATTTTAAGAGATGGCAATAAAAAATGTTGTTTTATCTCACGGCTCTGAACTTGGCAAAATTTTTGAGTGAAGATGCTCCAACTGTTGAGGAGGAAGAAACATATTCTAAAAAACGAGTAGCATTCGATGCATTGAGTCATATTGACTTATTGTGCAGGGACTACACCCTCAATTGCCTTGACAACACACTATACACCGTATACAATTCGATCAAGATAGCTAAATTACTGTAGGAGTCATTGGAAAAGAAGTACAAAACGGAAGATGCCTGATTGAAAAAATTTGTTGTAGGCAAATTCCTGAACTTCAAGATGGTAAAATCTAAAACAATAATGAATCAAGTCCAAGAGCTACAAATAATCTTGCACTGTATACATGCAAAAGGTATGAAGCCCTGTGAGTCATTTCAGGTAGCTGGATTATCGAAAAATTACCACTAATGTGGAAAGATTTCAAGAACTACCTAAAACATAAACGCAAGGAAATTGGACTTGAAGATCTGATTGTAAGATTAAGAATTGAGGATGATAATCGAAATTCTGAAAAAAAAATCTGGAAAGCTGCAAATGGAGGGTAAAGTCAATTTGGTGGAGCCAAATACTAGCAAGAAAATGAAGTACTTGAGTAATGGCAAGCAAAAGAGCAATGCCAAGAAATTTAAATGAGATTTCTATAACTGCGGTAAACCTAGTCACATTGCAAATGACAGAAAAAGCAAAACAAAAAGGACTAAGTACACTTGACCAATGAACACAGATTTTCTAATGGTGTGTCTGAACTAATGCTCTTAACTATTGTATTTGAAGCAAACATGATGGACAATCCGAGAGAATGGCTCGTTGATACTGGCGTGACTCGTCATATTTGTGCTGATAAGGAGATATTTTCATTATACACTCCTATCAATTGACGACAACTATTCATGGGTAACTCAACAACATCAAAAGTTGTTGGTCTAGGTAAAGTAGTGCTGAAGATGACATCAGGGAAAGAAGTAACACTCATCGATGTGCTGCATGTTCCCGATATTCACAAAAACTTGGTATCTGGAGTTTTGTTAAGTAAGAATGAGTTTAGGATAGTATTTGAATCTGATAAGTTTGTATTCACCAAAAATGACATGTTTGTGGGCAAAGCGTACTTAGCCAATGGGCAATTCAAAATGAAGGTAATGACCGTACTCTGTAATTTTGATATTAATAAAAATAAATCTTCTACTTACTTCATTGAGCCTTTTAACTTATGACATGATATGTTAGGACATGTAAATGTTAATACTTTACGTAAATTAATAAGTTTGAATTTATTGCCTTCCATTTCATTTGATCAAAATCATTAGTGCGAAACATATGTAGAGACTAAATTAGTCAAAACATTGTTTCATTCTGTTGAAAAGAACTCGAATCCTCTAGAACTAATTCACTGTGATATTTGTGATTTAAAATTTGTGCAAACTAGAGGAGGTAAAAAATATTTTATTACTTTTATAGATGCTTACACAATGTAGTGTTACATCTATTTGGTAATGAGCAAAGACGAGGCCTTAAAAACATTAAAACGGTACAAGAATGAGGTTGAGAATCAACTAAGCAAACGAATAAAAGTTGTTTGTAGTGACATATATGGGGAATATGAATTACCATTTGAAGAATTTTGTTCAGATTATGGGATTATTCATCAAACTACAGCTCTTTATTCACCTCAATCGAACGGTATTATAGAGCGCAAAAATCATACTCTGAAAGAAATGATGAACGTTATATTGATTAGTTCTGGTTACCACAAAATTTGTGGGAGGGAAAGCAATTCTATCAACTAACCACATTCTAAATAAATTATCACACAAAAATAGGAATGCTCCTTATGAGTTATAAAAATGTCATAAAATTTCTTACAAATACTTAAAAGGGGAGGGGAGGGGAGGGGTTGTTTGACTAATGTAGAAATATCAAAGCCAAAACAAGTTAAAATAGGGCCTAAGACCATCAATTGCATATTCATTGGATATGCTAATAATAATAGTGTTTATCGGTTCCTCGTACATAAGTTTGACATTCCGAATATACATGAAAATACTATCATTGAATCTAAAAATGTTGTATTTTTTTAGGACAATTTTCTTTGTAATGATAGGAAAGAGATATGTTCGTAAAAATGAACTTATGATACTGCAATTGGTAATCATCAAAGTGATGAAGAATCAAGATGTAGCAAAAGGACCAAAACATCTACATCTTTCGGTCCAGATTTTTTAACTTATTTGTTAGAAAATGAACCTAGGACATTCAATGAAGCAATGTCTAGTCCAGAAGCTCCATTCTGGAAATAGGCTATCAATAATGAAATTGATTCTATTATGCAGAATCATACCTCGAAATTGATAGATCTCCCACCTGGTAACAAACCGTTAGGTTGTAAATGGATTTTCAAAATAAAATTAAAAACTGATGGACAATTGATAAATATCAAGCCGATTGGTAGCTAAATGATTCAAACAAAAAGAAGGCCTTAATTTTTTCGATACATACTCACATGTGACAAAGATAACATCAATTAGAGTATTAATTACAATCGTAGCATTGCATAATTTGGAAATCCATCAGATGGACGTCAAAACAGTTTTCTTAAATGTTGAGTTAGAAGAAGAAATTTACATGGAATAATTCGAACGGTTCATTGCTCCTGGACAAGAGAAAAATGTGTGTAGGCTCGTTAAGTTATTATATAGACGAAAGCAAATGCCAAAACAATAACATAAAATTTGACAAAACTATGTTGTCAAATGGTTTTAAGATTAACGAGTATGATAAATGTGTTTATATTAAAAAAATACCTAATGCATGTGTAATTGTATGTCTATATGTTGATGACATGCCAATTACATATAGTAATTGTGATATCATGACAAATACAAAGAAAATGTTGACAAAACATTTTGATATGAAAAATATGGGTATTGCATATGTAATCTTATGAATTAAAATCCTTAAAACATTTGAGGACTTGTCTTATCCCAATCTTACTATATTGAGACTGTACTTAAGAAGTTTCATATATATGATGAAAGTCCAGTTAAAACACTGGTAGACTTAATTCTACATTTGGTCAAACATAAAGGGAAACTCGTATCTCAATTAGAGTACCCTCGAATAATAGGAGTCTAATGTATATTACAAACTGCACTCGTCCGGATATTGCATATGCAGTAAACAAACTTAATAGATATACACGTAATCCAAATAATGACCATTGGAAGACACTGGTAATAGTTCTTAGATATATAAGAAACAACTCAAATATTTGATTACATTATACTAGATATCTAGTTGTATTAGAAGAATACAATGATGCTAATTGGATATCAGATACAAAAGACTCAAAATCTTTTAGTAGGTATGTTTTTACCATTGGTGGTGCGGTCGTATTTTGAAAATCATCTAAACAAACATGTATAACTCGATCCACGATGGAATCTGAGTTCATAGCTTTAAATAAAGTTGGAGAGTCGAAATTTTTTAGAGGATATTCCATGTTGGCATAAACATGTGCCTGCAATTAGTATGCATTGTGATAGTCAGTCGGTTATCAGTAGAGTATAAAGTAATATGTATAATGGTAAGTCTCGACATTTTCGTCGAAGACATAATACAAGTAATCAGTTGATCTCAAATGATGTTATTTACATAGATTATGTAAAGTCTAGAGAAAATCTCACGGATCCGCTTACCAAAAGTTTAACAAGAGATCAAGTATACTATCTATCAAGGGGAATTGGCTTAAAGCCTACTACGCAAGAATCTTTGTAATGGTAACACAATCTTGATGATTGGAGATCCCAAAATCTTGGTTTAATGGGACAATTAAATTATGAAGATTCAAAAAGCACTTCGGAGTTAACTCCTACCCATTCATTCGTTAAAAAAGTGCTATCTGCAGAAAGTTTTATATTAAATTATACTTTTAATGATTCTTATATCTTGAGCTATCTAAGTGGGGAATGACAAGTGCTCTTAATAGGAGATCACATATATTCTATGAGAATGTTTCAAATGCTTGAATTCTCTAAAATACTTAGGAGCTGTTCTCTTCGTATTTCAATTTTTAGTTTTGAGTTTTGAATTCATTTTGGGTTTTGTGTTTTGAGTGTCCATTTTGAGATTGTTGAAAATGCGTTCTTTTTATCATTCTAAATTTTTTTTTTCAAAAATAAAAAATTGAAGTTTTGACTTGATTTTAACTGAAAATAACCAAAACGACTTTTTTGGCCTTTTTTGTTTTCTTTGTAAATTTTAAATTCGTTTTTGGAAATTCATTTCCAAAAAAAGGTAAAAGTAAACATATTTTCAGTATTTTCGAAAATTGAAAACTGAAAATGGCCTGAAAACAGTAAAGTGAACATGCCCTTATGAAATCCAAGAGTTGTTTAGGGCCAAAATGAAAATAACAGTGAGAACTTGAAAATGTTAGGGAGATTATTGTGTTGATACTATTGTCTTGGTTTACACTAACGGCGACAATTCAAGACACCACGTTCACTGATTAGCCAAGTAAATCTGATAGTATTTTACTACGAAAAATTCAAACTCGTACCTATCCGGATGCGATAACATTCCGTTTGATCTCTCTATTGGAATTCCATAGTCAATTACATTAATTTTCATTCATGTGGAGGATTGCTGGAAAAATTGATTTTTATTAGTTGGTTTGACCAATTATTTTAGTGAGTCCCATTAGTTGGACAAAAGATTTCTTTGGCCGAGTATATTCTACTTCATGAGTAGATTAATGTAATGTATTTATTTTCTCAAAATCAATTTAGGGTGAATGAGAAATTAAGGTCGAAAGATGACCACTTGAAGTTGAAATAAGTTGGAATAAAAATTGGTGAAAAATTGGAAAAATGACAATCCCACATAGGAAAGCTAGAAGAGTGTAAATGGCTTTATATTGTTCAAGTTTGGAACTTGAGTTTGGACCCCAAGGGGTACCAATAGTCTTTGAATAAGAGAAAACCTACATACTAGTAGGTTGAGTCAAAGCCCGCACAGGCACGGGTCGTGGGCTTGAGCCAAGTTGATAAATATTTTTTAGTAAAATAATATTTGAATTATATTATTTTATTATTATTTAAAACAATTATATATTTATTTATATTTTTTTTCCCCAAGATTTTTTTGTACGTGACACATGTTTTCTTCTAGAAGATGGCAGTTGACAGTTAAACTGTTTGTCCAAACGGTTTGTGTCCGTTGAAAATACAATTTTTCCACTGTTGTGTCTTTTGGATACAATTTTTCAACTTCTATATAAATGCCTCTAGACCCTAGGTTTCATTCATTCCAAAATTAGAGTTGATTTTATTCTTCTTCCAAAATTATTTATTCGTCCCTTTATTATTCATATTTTGCAATTCAATCTCGAAAGTTATTTTCGTGTATTTTGGCCCTCACATTTTTTTAGAGAGATCAAAGCGTGAGTAAGTTCACCGAGTCTTGTAATTTGGAGTGCTACTATTACAAATCGAAGTCGTTGTATCTTGGGAGACGAGTGTCAGAATACCGTCAGCATCAGTGCGAGACATTATCATTTTAAGGAGAAAGAGTCGAATTCTTGTCTCGACTATTAACATTTTATATTATTCATTTTTGCACGACGTTTTTCTGCCCAAATCAATTTACGGTGATATCATTATTTGCCAACATTTCATTTGTTTACTTATTGGGTCCATGTAGTATAGTAGACGTTGACTTAATTAATTTAATTTTCGGTATAAATTGCACCAGTTTTCTGATATGATTTATTTACCTCTTATTAAGTTAAATAAGGCGTACCAAACGAACTCAAAATATTGTTGAATTCATCTTACTAAATATACCACATTGTTATGCAATAATCGTCGAAGATCTAATTATATCTTGATATGATTCCCTTCAAATGCCGTTTTAGAACGTTTATGTAGTCTAATTTTGGTTGCTCTTATCATTTTTAAAAATATTTTTTGAAAAATAAAAATGAATGGCTACAAATTCCATTCTCTTTCATTTTTCATTTGATTATTTCCTACATTATTTTTTTTATATATAAATACATTTAAATAAATATTTCCTCTCGTATTCTTGTCCACAATGAACTGAAATATTAACGGACAAAACCTAACATTTAAAACTAAACAATCATTATTCAAATGGCTGCTCTTTCTTTCTCTACATCTCCTGCCGTATTGCACAATTCCGCTTCTCGGGCTCCACCGGCTGCTAAAATAACTCCAAAATCCGTTCCTTATTTACCCAGTACATTCGAAAACAGCAAATTTATTGATACTAACAAAATCCTTGAAGCCCAATCTTGGAAATGGAGAATAGGGTTTTCTTTATTACCGTATTTCTCGATCAAAGACAGAGAGAGCCTGAAGAAGGAGCTTCTTGAGGCTATTGATCCACTCGACCGCGGTGCAGCGGCTTCTCCTGAGGACCAGCAGCGTATTGATCAGGTGGGTTTTTTTTTATATTTGCTTATTGTATGAATTGTAAACCCGATTGTGTTAGAATAATATTTTGGTTAATTTTTGCTTTTTTAAAGTAATATGGGAATGGATTGAATTCGATAGATACTCTGGGCATTTTGTTGTGATAACTGGGTAGCTTGGATTTTGGATATAGGTTTGCTGTGATTTCATTCAGTAGGCACATGTTTAGCTAAGCTTAAAACTTCACTCAAGTAAATAAGTAAATTTAAGATAAGCAACTATTTTTATTGATCAAAGACTCAAAGTTAGTTAAGGGAAGAGTTCCTTTCAAAATAACTTTTAAAGAAAAAACTTATCCAAACATGTTTGGAATAAAAAAAAATATATATATATATACTTAAATAGTAACTTTCACATACTGTTAAGCTTAGCCAAAGTTGGAATGGAACCTTTTTTGATATCTGGAATAGAGCCACAATTTAAGCTGAACTTTTGTAGATTCTGGGAGTGAATTTACTATTCTACCTATTTCCACATATTTTCTGTTTCTTGGATTTTTCATCCACTTGGAAGATGCATATATCCTGAAATCAATGAAAAAAGGAAAATTGCTTGCTCAAAGTGGGGAGGACAAAGTCATCATATTTTGATTCCAACTTTTATACCTTCAGTGATACATGTATATTCTTAGATACAGTTACTTTTCAGATTGCACGTGAACTCGAGGCAGTTAACACAGTGAAGCAACCACTCAAATCGAGTCTACTAAATGGGAAATGGGAGCTTTTATATACAACTTCTACATCAATTCTACAAACAAAGGTTTGTAATATCTATTTTCACTTTGGGTATATTACTTGACATTAAAAGTTCTCGTTTTTGTTGTTTACTCGTGTTCAGAATGATAAATGAATTATTTGAAGCCGAACGTAATGGCAATAGATTAAACTAACATTTAATCGTCATTAAATGAAATTCTTTAATTTGAATGCAGAAGTTCATAGAAACCCAAGGCCGATCATTCAAATGACATTGGGTTATCAGAACGTAATTTGGGAAAAAATGGCTCACTGTAAGCTAGAAATATCTACTATAACGATTTGATTTTTTCACTACATTTTGTAAAAAGAGATGGCATCATGTACTTTTAAAGGCCTTCATATGATGATTGTCTAAACTTTAAGATGCTTTCTTCTTTGTTTGTCATTCTTTAGCTGAGAATGAACAAAACAGAAGCTTCTAACTGAACTTTTGTGTACCTCGTCTTGATTTTAGTTGGTATCGGAGTGTGTCCCATGTTGCATACTCAAATATGCACCTGGAAATAAATTATATACTCTTTCTTGTTTTAAACCAAACAAAACTGAAAATTATAGGAGCTAGATATGCTGGATCAGAGTTCATTATCCTAAACTTATCCTGAATCGCATACTTTCTTATGCAAATCTCATCCTAATATTTAATAAATTACAGTAGCATCTCTTGAGAGGAGAAATCTAAATTATAAAATGGATCTTGATTAATGCAGTCTTGATTGGTTATTTGTGCAACCAATCTGACATTTCAAAACTCTTTGTTTAAAAATTTACTCGTCATATAATTTCTAACCCTACACATAATGCTCACCCTCTATTAAATTGTCGCAGAGACCAAAATTTTTACGACCAAATGGAAAAATCTACCAGGCAATTAATGTGGATACTTTGAGGGCACAAAATTTGGAAACTTGGCCATTTTTCAATCAGGTAACTGCTGATTTCAAGGGAAGGCATAATTTTCTTAAGTAATGTGCTTATTCCTCTAGATATGCTTGTGTTTCTCTTGTGGTCGTGTTCTTGTTCTTGTGATACCCACAGAGCAAAGTAGAGCTTCATCTAGGCTGTATGTTTATGTTGAGAACATGATTGTAGAATATCTGAGTTGTTGCATATTATTTCATCCACAATATTCTGTCAACCTTAATCATATTATTTGACTTCAACACACTCAGAGACAACACACCGGTTATGCTCCTCTTCTCTTTGCTTCTTAAGAGTGGTTTCTTGTGTTCCGTTAGCTCACTTTTCACTCTCAAAGCAGTCAAATTCAATTCCTTAGTCGACCCCAAAAGAGCATAAAAACTCTGAGAATGAAAAAAGTCGACAATTATTTTTAAAATCCAGATGAGTAGAAGGGGTTTTGGGGATATATCTCAAAATCATGTCATTTCTTTAGCTACAATAGTATTGTTAGAAGAGAGATTATAGTTTTTTTTTCTTTTTAACTCTTCAGCCGTTGGAAATATTCACTGTTTGAAGCACAATATTTTTGTTCTGGAAAATTACAGGAAACTGTTTGCCACAGAGAAGTTTTTATGCTAAAATGGACATTTCATGGTTTTATCACATTTCAACATCATAAAGAAAGTAATAACAATGGGAAGCTCGGCGAGCAAGCCATAAATTATTGCTACTTTTGACCTGACTTCCAGCTACCTGTTTAAATCATGTTTCAGCATCATTAAAGAACAGAAATAACCATCGGGAAGCTCCGTGAGAAAGTCCATATTAATGCTATCTTCCTGACTTCCAGCTACTTTACTTCACGTTTATGGTTCAGAAAGTTCCCTTCATGAGGCTTTCCTCAGACTAAGGTATTGACCATGACAATCCCAATTTTCACATTGGGTCTAGGGTAGAAACCAAAGATTTTGAGTGACCAAGGGTAGAATATCTCAAAATATAAAGAAGTATCGTTAATTGTTTATGCTTATAGCATTCATTTGAAAAAGTTCCTGGATGGGCATACGAATATAGGGCGTTGTTTTTATTTTTTATTTTTATTATCAAATATGTTATCACTTCGTTGGTTTTTTGTAGGCAACAGCTAATTTGGTTCCTTTAAATGCAAGTAGAGTGGCTGTCAAGTTTGATGCTTTCAAGATTGCAGCTCTGGTAGGTCAAATCCTGCTTCTGAAAAACTAATTTGCAGCTGTTGTCCTTTTGTACATATCTCTGCGAACAATGTTAAGGGATTCATATTTTTGATTGACAACAGCGCCAGTACATTAGTTGTTCAATCATGCTACATGTACATCATGATTGACATATAACAACAATTTACACCATTGATTTTAAACACATCTTTCCCATCACTGCCTAGATTCCTTTCACCTTGGGGGATTTCGTCAACCAAAGATGTACATATAGCTTAATTCTTAGTTGTTTTGGGCCAGTAGAAAGTTTTCTGTCCCACCATAGAGATAAATTAGTAAATATGTTTTATAATTGACTTTATGGGGCATATATAACTCGCATCTTATTATGGATTAAGTTGTTGAAATCACCTATGTACGAGAGCGGTAAAGGAAACAAAACAAGTAAAGCACACAACTTATCTCATTGTTGCGGTTTTCACCTTGAAGAAGAAGATTATAACAGTGATCTCACGCATAAAGAAGATCACGTCGGTGATCTTATGCATATGTCACATAGAAAACAACCTCCCAAAAATCTAATGTAAAATTCAAGAATATTAGGTGGACGTAATGCAAGTATTGAATACCCAATATGTTGTGGGAATGAGAGGTCGTTCTGCAGTCGAGGAGATAAGTGGATAGTAGGCTCCACACAGTCCAACATATTCAGTGCAAGAAAATGTTTTGGTAGGTAGTGAACTTGTTATGCCAATTTTCTCTCTAGACCAATGACGCAAAACAGTAACGAACCTTTAAGCGTGGGAAGATAGCAAAGTTCTACTCTGCAAAGTTATAAGTTAGATCATTCTTGTAATTATTACCTTTGATTCTCGTTCACTTTAGCCTCCATGCAAAGCTTTAAAGTTTAGAGATCTTTGTTCTTTGCTGAGGTATATAGAATTTGAATGATTCCTCTTCGTGCTCCCTAGATAACTATCAATTCTCGTGGAAGTGGTCGAGGTCAACTGGAAATTACATATTTGGATGAAGAGTTACGGTGAGTAAAATGAAATTCGGCTATTCAAATGCAGTTGACATTCATCAGACTTATTTCTTTTCGTCATGACCAATTTTTTTTTTGTGAACTGGTGTTGAGATTGATCTTTTTATCTAGCTTCTTGTGTGTACATTCTGTGTCTTTGCATTAAATTTGAATGGCTTACCCTGTTTTCTGCGGCATTTATACAAGAGAAATGGGAAATTTGCCCTTCACTCTTCTGGTACTCATTTCTCATTGTGAACAGCATTATTTCCAAAAAACTGAACTTTAGATAGGTAAATGCAGAATCAAGAAACTATTTCTTTTCACTGTGCAACTTTTTAAACAAGTTAACAGCCTTTTATCCAGGACCATCAATCTAATTATCCTTTTTGAAATGATTCTTCTTCACCATTTCTATCTCTTCCCCTCTGCCAATTCCGCTCCCTCAACTGCCCCCACCCACTAGTGTTGGTCACAAAACAGCTGGAGGGGAGGGGCCAGTGGCACAAATGAGGGCGTGAGGAAGAAGGAGGCCATGTAATATTGAGATTTTGACAAAAATGTGGCTTATTCTGAAACTTTTCTATAAGAGGCCGTTTTTCAATTCTCTCTCTGCAACATGGTCCTTTTCGGAATCGATGTCCTCAAATAACTTCACTAATTTCTCCTATTAAAAGAAGTGTTTCCACACATGTCCATTGTACACCACAAGATTGGCTGTTTGAATTCAGTATCAGCCATTTCTTTTTCCTTTCGACTATGGTCAGGAGCTCAATTTAGTACTACTATGTTTTTCATGATTTGCAGGATATCAAGAGGCAACCAAGGGAACTTGTTTATATTGAAAATGGTTGATCCTACATATAGAGTACCTCTTTAACTGGCATCAATGTAGAATTGCTTGAATGACAAGAATAACTATTTTTCCATATTTGTAAATGCAACTGGTTTTTATAAGATCACGCATGTACTTTTTTTACACGTGTAATTTACCCAAAAAAAAAACCATTTTCTTCCCTACAAATGTTCTTTTTTTTTTTTTTGATGGCTCTGCTAATGGGATCATTGACATCGCCCAAATATGTGAAGATTTTCTATATTAAAGAAGCCTTATTTGGCTATTCAAAGCTTGTATTGAAGTACAATCGAATACAACCTTTAAATAACTGATCAATAATTACAAGAGTAAAATATGTACATGAAACTTTGGTTACTATATATTCTTTCTGCAGTCATCACAAGAAATTTAGCGATCAAATTATCTTCGTGTAATGCATTAGGAAGGGATTCGGTATGAAGGATCCACCATTTTTAGGATAAAAAGGTTCCCCAGATCACCTCTAGATACTCTGCAACAGTGAAAAGGAAAAGGAAAGCATTTAGAGAGTAGCAAGGTCCATGACTTCCATTAGAACTTCAAATTTTAAAAGCAGGTTCATCATCGCATTAAATGCGTAATCAGCAGAACACAATTTGCCTAAACGTCAACTTGCCAATTTTTTCAATCCATTTTGCTACAGTTGTGGGCCATATCTTAGACCACAAGGACGGATTCTCTGCCATTACTCTGCATTGGCTGTCAGATGAGTTTCATATTTTTTAACTTTCCGAATTTACCCTTGAATTGATAGTAGGTGGCTTTCAAATGTTTGTGTTAAAATGATAGAGGGCAAGGATGTAAACAACCAATTATTTCTGGGGGTGAAATTGTCCAAAAAAATAAAACATCATTAAACATGCTGACACAATAGCTGAACGCCATTAATAATGCTGACAAAAAATCTGAATTTAAACATTCAAATGTCAGGCGTGCACTGTAGCAAATGAGAAATTGGTAAAAAATTAGGTGTCAATCGGAAGCTAAGCATGGAAAAAGTGAAAGTAACTTTTAAGCTAAGCCAAAAACGTCTAGGCTTAAAATAACTCTTTATTTCTCTTAAAACAAATAGAAGTAACTTTTAGCAATGTCATTCTTTAAAACTAAGGGCCTGTTCTCTTTGCCATTTTCAAGTCGTTTTCTGTTTTCGATTTTCCAAAACAGTGAAAACGCGTCCTTCTTCCTATTTTCGAAAACGTGTTTTTGAAAATGAAAAAAAAATTGTAAAGGAAACACAAAACGTCCAAAACCACGTTTTGGAAAATTTGAAGCCAAAACAAGGTATTTTTACAAAACACGGGAAACAACTTCCAAAACCCACAATCCACAAACCCGTCTCTCTCTACCGTCTCCAGTATCACTGTGGTCTTTACCATTTCCATCCCCCAAACCCACAATCCAAAGCTTCCACTAGTTTTCCATCGGCGATCTCAGGTACCCACAATCCATTTATTTTCCATTTCTTTGTCTGCTATTCTATATATTTTGGAGTTCAATCATGTTTCGCCTCTGATTTTTTAATTTGTTGGGTGTTAAAGAATTTCCATCGGCGATCTCTGATTCATCACACACGCACATATAGTTTCTGTCTGAAGAAGAAAAATGGGCTTAGGCTTAAGGTTAAGATTGAAAATTCTTCATTGACAGTATTATGTTATTTAGTTTGAGTTTTCATTTAGTTTCTGTCTTGGTTAATTGGAGTGTAAAAACAATGGGTAAGAGAGTGTTTGATGAAATGCCTGAAAGGAATGTGGTGTCATGTGAAGACTTTGTTGCAGTGTATTTAGCTTAGCCAAAGGAAAATGCTCCTATATGGATAAATTTCCCTTTTCTTCTGGTGACTACACCCTTTGATAAGGATTTTTCCAATGGGTCCAGGCATGTGATGTTCTATGACATGGGGGGAAGCAGTACTTATGCTGCCTTGGTTTATTTCTCGGCTTACAATGCTAAAGAGTTTGGAAAGACCATTTCTGTTAATCAATTCCAGGTGAGTTCAGTTTTTTTATTCAATTTCTGTACTTCTAATTGAAAACTCGAAGTAGCATCTTTTTTGTTGAGTTTTCTTTATGTTGTCTATTTAATAAATTATAGCTGTGCTGACATGAACTCCCCTGAAACTATATTGATCTACCATAAATTCATGTTGATATTCGTGTATAGTTTTATCAATTTACTTCGAGGATGACACATACTTGAATAATTTTGGCCTTTTTTAGAACCCTTAAAATAAACAGGGATTGACAAGGGAAAGATGGATTTTGAAAATAAATGGTCAGTCTTAATTACTTTTGTGTTTAAAAATGAATATTTACTTGGGGAAAAATTTGAGCTGTCGTTTGACCTAAATTGCTGGCCAAGGTAATATTAGTCCGTATATCCATTTAAAATGAATGTAGCTAACGCCAAAACCCATCTCAGATCCAATGTACTATAGGTTTTTTTAAGAAAGAAATGAACAATAATTCGAAGTGTAAACCAAAAAAGGTTTTCAGTTTGTGTCTAGCTGTCATAGTAGATGTTTTACATTCTGAAAGTTGTTCCAGGTGAAAGATGTTAGATGGAATGCAGAACTTGGAGGTGAAAATATGGAGCTGTTGTTGGTGGAATACTTTGTAGACGAGTTCAACAAACAGCTCGGAAATGGGGTTGACATCAGAAACAATGCAAAGGCAATGGCCAAATTGAAGAAACAAGTTAAGCGTACCAAAGAAATTCTTAGCGCGAACACAATGGCCCAATCTCTGAATAGCCATTGGCACCAAATTACTGGAAAAGTGATAAAGTCGAACGTAATCCTTTGCTGATTGGATACCTAGCTAGAAGTTAGTATAGCTGTTCCTGCTAGCACTTTCTTTTGTATCATAAACTTGAACTTCTGAGTATGATGATGATTAGTTGTTTGCTTGTGGTAAATTTTGGTAACAAATTCCTCCCTGCGAAAGGCATTTATTTCTATTTCTGTTCATAAGCTTATTAGGTGAGGTCAGTTGTGTGATATTTCTTTGTTTAATGATATTTTAGAGAAATTAAACTACATACTCGCCAGTGTTAGCCTTCTCGGCCTAACTTATGTTTCACTTATTATATGGTTGTTTTTATGAACAATTGAAGTTCTGACAAATCCTTAAAAGAAGACTGCACCTTTGCTTTGATGTAATTTAGATGTTTTTCTCTATATTAGATCCTAAATACAATAACCCACTATTGACTCTCTATGTGACCCAATAAGAAGAAAGCAATGTTCAGTCATTGTATAGCCTGTGATTCTAGCCCGAGATTTGCATAACTTATTGGTCCCATTTGCCCCGTTGCTATTTTGTGACATGTAATGAGCGATGTTGCTTGTCAGCATGTTGAGGCTTTACTGTAATTTGATATTCTCAGAAGACTTGTGCAGACAAAGAACCAAAATCACCCTCAAAGGCTACCAATTCCCCTAAGAAGGTT